TAAGATGATAATGTATGTATATTTTACCACAATTTAAAATTGTTTTAATAAAATACATAAATTTAATAGAGGTATTGCATTCCTGCCTGAGGAAAGGTTTACCACAGTAACAAGACTTAAGGGTGTATCAGTACCACACCCTAAGCCCAAGATCCCTGCAGTGGGCCAGCCCAAACCCCTGACAGATGTTAGCATCTGCTTGTTTTCCATACCTATGGAAATGCAGAAGGGTTAATGCATTCTCCAGTAAGGTAAAATGTTGCAGGTTTACAAATGGTCTTCTATACCTTCTCTGGCAAACAGTAACTGTGCTTTTGCATGAGGCTATAAACACTATCTCATGATTTATTACTTCACCTCATTTTCTTTATCTTTTGCCTTTTCCAATATAATAGAAAACCTATGTAGACACCCAAATTTTTGCTGTTGTTCAAGAAATTAACTTATGCACTGATAGACACAAAAGAGTAGATGGCATTTGTCATTTTCCTCCCATGTAACTTGACAACTATGATTTGAGCTGCTGCTGTCATTAGGTGTTTTAAACAATTTCACATTATAAGTTGATGCAAATTTTCATGCCACAAAATAATGAAACCATCAAATGTCTGCTCTTTGAAAAACACAAAGACTCATTAAGGACTTCATTTCTATTTTATTTTATTTTATTTTTTATTTCTTTTTCATATTGAATTGTTATTGATTTCAGGGCATGCTGCATCCATGTTAAACAATGGTGTCAACCCTTGCCTTTAACAATACCATTGTATTATTATAAAAGCACTTACAACCCATCCCATCTTTGAGTATAAGTTACTGGTATGTGGGTAATGATTATCTTAGAACATTTCTCTATTCAGACCGATTATCCAAGTGCTCTCTGGATATTAGAAGGTGAAGATAAATGGAGAGTGAAGAACGAAGAGGAAAGAGAAGGAAATAAGGTTCTCCCAGTTGCAATGAGGGGATGGGGAGGTATGAAGAGAGTTCTGTTGTCCTTTCATCTTTCTACTGTGTTAAGTGATGCTTACAACATAAATTCAGCAGGCTTTTCCTGAGCAGTAACTCAAAGACTGTCTTCTTGTATATAATGTAGTTACAAATGTGTTCATTAACTTAAACAGCGATCTCACAATAACTAGTAAGGATTTCTATTTTAAAATTAGGAAAGAGAGGTCTAAAGGAAGTGTATGTTTGATTGCAAATGCAATACCCATAAAAGGCTGTGGTTTTCATGGAGGCTTCTGAATGGTTCGGAAAAACCTGTAGGGAAGAATAGATTAGAGCAGTAGTTCTCACCTGGGGGTAGATGCCCCCAAACCCCCAGCCCAAGCACGTTGAGCAAGACCTGGCAATATTCTTGGCTATCACAACTTGGGGGGGAGGGGATGTTACTGGTGTGTAGTGGATAGATGCCAGGGATGCTGCTAAATATCCTACAGCGTACTACATCTCCCCCACTAAAAAGAATTATCTGGCCCAAAATGCCAGTAGTGCTAAAGTAGGGAAACCCTGAACTAAACAAAGCCATTTTATAAAAAGGATTTTACTAAAGTGCCAAAGGATGGAGGACAAAAGGTATGAGAGACAAAAGTAAAAATCAATCAAACAAACAAACAAACAAAAAAAAAACACATAGACACAGAGGGCTGAGAGGCTGAAGGATTAAGGGGTGCCAAGTAGTTAAATTTACCTTGAATGAAGGGCTCAAGTTAAATTCATAGAGACTTCCTGTCTCTATGAATTTGAAGTTAAATTCATAGAGACTTCCTGTCTCTATGAATTTGACTACTTTAGACACTCTGCATAAGATCATACAGTATATGTCTTTTTGTGACTAGGTTATTTCTCTTGACATGATGTCCTCAAGGTTATAGCATATGTCAGAATTTTCTTCCTTATTAAGGCTGAATAAAAGCAGTGGCCAGTCTGTAAACACAGACTAGAAAGAACATGAGCTTTAGATCTCTGTTCTTAGTAGATGTGAGAATTTAAACAAGTATTTGTCTCCTCGGATTTTTCCTTATCTATAAAATGAAGGTAATATTTATCTCCTATATTTGTTGTCAAGGTCAAACCAGGTGAGTTTAAGTGCCTCTCCTTCTGGCATAACAATAGGGGGCAAACAATAGGAGGTGGGGAAAAAGCCATTCCTTCAATTCTCTAGACTCTGGGATTACTAAATTCCAATTTCCAATCACCAATTGAAGTTACTGATGTTAAGTATGACTACAATCAACCAAAAACTGATTAGTTAAGTTTTATTATTTGCCTCCATTCTTTTCTTCACTTATTCAACAAGTATTTCTTCAGTTATCCTTCTTTTGGGGGCAATTGTTTTCTTCCTTTAACAGAATTTTTATTCTTATAGAGAAAAACAGATTAACAAAACAGTAGGAGGAAGTCTTACAAAGCCTCTGAATGAATAATGTTGCAGAGCACTTCAAACTTATAGCTTAACTGCTCCGTGAAAAAAGATCATAAGAAATCCTAAGTCTAGAGTCTTTCATCTCCTGTGATGACACTTGCAATTCGCCATGACCTCCAACATTGTATCAGATGGTTCTCTCTTAACATGATCAAATTCCCCTTGTTCAGCTGGAACACATTTTCCTTTGCTAATATCACCCTCTATATTTTTAAACCTTTCCCACATACAGACTGCTTTTATTAAAAGTATCACCTGGTGCAGTAGTATATAGGTTGTCTCCACTTGACTAAACAAACATAAAATCTCTTTAAAAATAGCCTTGGCTGGACCGGTGTCCATGTTGAGTCCTGAAGCCATGGGAAATGGCAATTGGCCATCCATGTTAGAACAGGGTGTAGCCTTGAATATGAAAAGTCCAGATCAGCCGGAACTCAAGATGCCATAGACCTTGATTGCCTAAAACTGCTCTAGGAGGGCACAGAGTAGAAAACAGTCAATGTTAGCCGAGACAAGTAGAAAAAGAGAGCGTTTGGAGGCCTTGAAGTGCGAATTGAAAGATAGGTAAGTGTTAACAAGGTAGAAAAAGTAGGGAGTGTGTTCCAGGCAAAATCAACAGCTTAAAGATAAGAAGGGTTCCAGGAGAAGACAGAATGGATTTGTGTGGCCCACCACAGGCAGTTCACCTCAGCTGGGTCACAGGCTCTGAGGCAGGGAGACAGCGGCAGGGGCCATGCAGAGCGCTCTGCGTTTGACTTTTTCCAACGGTTATGGGGTGTTATTACAGAATTTTACAAATAAAGTAATAGCATCATCACATTTGTGCTTTCAGAAAGATCCCCTCACTGCAATGTGCAAGATGGATTAGAAAGGCATGGGCAAAAGAATAAATGCTGCAAATATGAATACAAAAAAATGTTTGACTTCAATACTTGATCTTGTGACCATTGTCCTAAAACAAGTTAGAATGGGTCCCCTGTACATAATTTAACATGTACATAATATTACCTGGTAGGAGGCAACACCTCTTGCTCAGTGTATGAGCATTCTCCAGAGGAAAGAACCCAAAAGGATGGAGATTATATATATTTAAAATGTTTAAGTTATATCACACCTTTGTTCACATCATTAGGGAGGATTGCAAATCCAGAATCCATGGGGGAAGCCCAGCAGGATGGACACGGAGAGTAGAGACCATTTTTGTAGTGCAAGTCCAAAGGCCTTCAGATTGAAGATTCTAGAAAGAGTCAATGTTGCAGTTCAAGTCCAAAGAAAACAATAAGAATGGAGAGGAATTGGCTGGAACTAGATATGGGCTTGTTTGGGCAGGTATTCTGAAAGCTAAATTCAGAGCACTGTGGATTAGGGATCATAAATAGGAGTTTAAAATGGTGAAAAATGAAGAGCCAGGCTAATATATTCACAACTACATCCCTTAACCTTCCTTTCTTAACAGTGAGGCTAGTCTGGCAGTTTTTGGTGAACAAACCAAATAGGCTGTATCTGGTTACTAGCTGAAGTGAAATCATTTGTACCTAGTAATATGAACACAGATTAATGACTCTATACAACTAAGACAAATTTTTCTTCTTTTAAATAGATGCTTATTTAACCCCTGAGTTTTTTCATCCCCAAGGTCTAATTCTCTGCCTACAGGCCATTATTGTTTCCTAAGAAGTTCACTCATTAAACCCTTTTGTATCATTGGATCTAATTCACATTCTGGAAGGCCAATCTTAACATATGTAGTAGTGCAGATAGTCTACCATTCAAGGGTGTTCAATAAAGAGGAGGTATAATCAAAATAATGCATTAGAGACTAGCAAATATTAGAGATTATTTTTTGACATGGCTGTCAGGGATAAGTGCAGTCTCCAAACAAGGATGATAAGAAACTAACTAGGACAGTGACAATTAAAAGAAGGAGAGTGGGACAGATGGAAAGACATTGCAAAGCACACATACAACCTAGTAACTTGACATGAGTGGATAGATGGTCATCTTCCAAAACTAAGAGTGTGACACAGGTAGTGTGTCAGGTATCTTAAAGGGAAATGATGATTCTGTTTTATAAATGTTAAGTGGGTACTGCCAAAATATTTTCCAAGAAGAAATGTTCTTACTATAAAATAGAAGTGGTCTAGAATCAAGAGCTAAAACTTGAGATAAAGATTCTTTCCATTGAAGTTAATATTGAAGAAAACCATCAGTGTGGAAAATCTCTCAAAGAGCTAGTAGAGAAAAAATAAGACTGAAAATGAAAATAATGTCTGTTTAGGAAAATAGATTAGCAAACTAGATTTAAAACAGAGCAGATAGAAACAGAGAATGGAAAACACAACACTGCGGTCCAGAGAAGAAATACTTTCTTAATGTTATATATGCCTTCCTTAAAACACCCTAAATCCCTAGCTATCACCCCATTTTCCTTTTTATTTACAGCAACCATTTTTTAGAAAATAACTTCTTTATTCTATGTCCCTAGTACCTGACATCCATTTGCACTTCAGCTTATTATATAGGAACCCTATCACACCAGCGCCCCCAACCAAACTGCAAAGATAAAGAGGCCGCGCTCGCTTCACAGCACATGTACCAAAACTAGAACGACACAGAAGATTAGCATGGCCTCTGTGCAAGGATGACACCCACATCTGTGAAGCATGTTCCATATTTTTAAAAAATAAATAATAAAATGAAATAAATAAAATCAGAGAGCATTGTACACTTTGCAAGGAGAGGGACTTCTCAGTCTCCAATTTGTTCTTTTTTGTTGTTGCCTTTAAATAAGAAGGTGACCCCCCAAAAGCCAGAATTTATTTATGAAAAATTGTGCATTTATTCTGACGTGTTTAAACTTCAGTCACCTTCACAGTAGTCTCCATGTGATGCAATACATCTATCACATGTTTTTTCTGCTGATCAAAACAGTTTTTCAGTTCATTGATTTTGATGTCTTTTAGTGCTTCTACTGTTTTTGGTTTCACCTCTTCCACATCAGCAAAACATCTCCCTCTGGGACTTTTTTTCATCTGGGAAAAAAAAAAAGTCACTCAGAGTGAGATCAGGTGACTAGGAAGGATGGGGCATGGGGGTCATGCCATTTTTTATCAAAACTGCTCAACAGTCAGCACAGTGGTGAGGAAGTGCAGTTGTACATCACCCATCTTGAAATGGGCAAATGTGTTGCAAGAGTCTCCCAAAAAAAACCCTCACTGAAGCTAAATGAAGCCTCTCACAACAACGCCATCTGGTACACTGATCAAGATGGGCTCCTAGAACACTCACCTAGCAGGATAAGCCTGTGCTACAAGGAGCCTGCTCTCTAGAAGATAATTCAGGGGTTTTTTTGTGTATGTGCTCAATGAAAATGTAAGATAGAGACTAAAATAAATAGGTGCAGAAATTAACTACAATGTACAATGGAACGCATAAGAGAGGAATACGGCTAGTTCTTCCTGTGAAGAATCAGGGAATCACAAAAGGTTGTCTAAGAAAGGTGGCCTTAAGCCCTGATGAGTATGGGTCATTTGGTTGGGCATCATCCTGCAAAGTGAAGGGTCACCAGTTAGATTCCCAGTCATTGAGCAAGAGGCATGCAAGAGGCATGTGAGAGGCAGTGGATCAAGGCCCATGTGATCTGGTGGAGGTTACTATGACAATTCAACATTTTTTTTTGCATGAAGCAGCTTATAAATGTAATTGTTTTCTTGTTTTAATTAACCACTGTTAATAAAGATTAGCTAGTTTGAACATGTTATTTTCTTGACATATTCAAAACAAATCATTTTCAAACAAAATGGTCTTAGTTAATATTTATCACTTGTATTACTCCATGAATTTTTCTCCTTGCTATTAGCAAACACCAGAGGCACATTATTTTTTGCATTTGTTCTTGAGTTTCCAATGATTCTACTTTTTTTGTTTTCAAATTACATAGAATCTTTCACTTTTAAAGAAAAAATATGAATTTTTAGGGTCTTTATTGATGAAATGTCTTTAAATAGCAGCTTGCATTTGCTACGCAACCCGCTGACAAGAATTTCAGTGGTCATCAATAAAAGAGCCATACACTGCTGCTTTCTACAGTGTTGATTTAATTGCTGCACAAGTTGTACTTCTTCCTTTCCTCAGTTAACAATGCCAAAAACGTAAGTGGTGAGTTAATGGCCAAAATAATTGAAATGTGGAATTCCTGGCTGTCGATGAGGCAACACCAAACCTCAGGAGCTAACAAGAGGTGTCAATGAATCATTAACAAAACATAAAATGGTGAGACGGGTAGTGAAGCATCCATCAGAGGCAGTTACTATGACTAGTTCTGCGAGCTTGCCTTTGGCCGGATAGCACTACCCATCAGCAGCTCACCATTCTGCATGAATCACATCTTACACAGCAGCATGCGATTTGCATTGAGGAGGAAGAGACCAGTGGATTGCAAAGTTCCTCTACTTGTTATCACTGTGTTAGCCTAGAGGGAGATTCGGTGAACTCTCCAGTTCAGGAAGTTATACAATCTTCCATAATGACAGACATCTTCTGCTTGAATCCTGGGTTTGTTTAAAGAACTTTCACACACACTTGATTGGCATATGTTGTATATTCATACCTCCGAAGTATGGGTTAGAGATGACAAGGAAACAAGCCTAGAAATATTTAATGGCTTGCCCAGAACCCAGCTTCCTAATTCCAGTGCCCATTCAATAAACTAAATTAGCATTTCCGCACAAACTCTATGTTTTGTTAGCATTGGAGCTCTCTTATTAACACATCCCCAGTTTAATAGCATTTGACATAAAAGGGAGCTAGCTGCCTTTCAATCACTCCTATTCCCATGAAAAACAATATTTATAAACTGTTAACATTTCATGTCATGTATTTAAAAAAAAATCCCAATCCAGTAGCTGTCAGCCAGCGCTCTGGAATGTAAAGTGAAATACCCTGAGATTGCCGTGTGTCACGCCAAGGCTGCTGCCTCACGACACAAAGCATTCAAAGTTGATCGTTCGAAGAGCCAGGCAGACAAATCCCACAAACCAGACTGAATAATATCCCTGCATATTACTTGGCAGTCCGAATATTGGATTTCCTTCATACTTCTTATACACTCGCTATTCTTTTGTAAGTTGCTACCCTTTAAAGTAGGATCTCTAGACTTTACCTATGGTATTTTTCTTTGGAACTATCTTGAATTAGTTTTGTTTATATACTTATCAAACACTTTTTCAGTGCCCACAGTCTTTCAGACTCTTGAGTGTTACTCTGGAAAAGAGTCAGTTGGTATTTTGAAATCATTCTAAGGCACAAGGTTAAATTTAACAGTAGGTACCAAAAACCCAAATATGAAAATTTAATTGTAATTTAATGTTATTTTAATCTGTTGAAAGATGGCATGCCTAAATATGACTCACGTTCTGTTAACAGAAGACAAGAATATCCCTGAAAATTGTGTCTCCATGAATGAACATTAAAACTGAATGAAACTGGGGAAAAACCTCCAAATGAAAAGTGAGAAGTCTAGTCAACCATCTGGAACTTTCATACACAGTGCCAAACATCCAGATACTTGTTAAAATCTGGATGAGTGTTAGTTGTCAGTCAGTTATAGCTTGAGTTATTTTTTTACAAGATTAAGATGGATTGAGTTCTAGACTGTTAATGTGTCCCTAATATAGCATCTCATCAACACCATCAGGCTTTTGGTTTTAGTATTGCTATTTTGAATAAAAGTATACAATTAATAAGTTTCGTAGTAACACAATAGGCAAATGGAAATCCACTTGTAAAAATATTTCAGCTGAAATAGCTATGACTGATCTGAAGACTGTTTTTAACTGTTGTGGAAATGTAACTGCAAAAGTTTAGACAGTCATTTTGTCTTTTTTCTAAAACAGAAAAAAGTTTAACATATCACATTTACTGATAATACCTGTTAACCTTCTTGAACAGAGTTCTGTCATTAAGACAACTATTCCTTTGTCACACACAAAACCACAGAATTTGAAGGAATCATTCAACAAATGTAGATACAATATTCAGTTTTCAAAGTTCTTTAAAAATCACAACTAGCCCTTAGTTCTGCCCAGGAAGTTTCTTGACACCTCATCCAATCGATATTTACTCTTTATTATATTTTTTCCTAGAGCCAGTCATGCTTAGCATGCAACAGTATAAAAGATGAGTGACAAATTAAGCTTACATAAAAAGGGTGTATCGGTCCCATTTCATGTCTTTTGAAAACAAAGAATTCTGAAGCATGTTCATCTGCCTACACTATAAAAATAGGGTGCCTATAATAGAATATTTGAGAAACAATTCAGTCTTCTTTTTTAACAGTCAAACATTTTGGCATAATTCATCATTCAGTTTGTTACTTTCTTGAGAATAGTCCTTTTTCTGTTTTTGTTATAATGTTAACATTATAACATGTTCTCATCATTGGAAACAAAAGAGCTTATAGTTGAGTGATGTAATACAATAATGATAACATAGTAGTCACTTGGCTTCAAGGAGTTTAGGCAGCCCAGTAACTGCTATTTGTTGCTTGCCTTTGTAGAGCTTTTGTCTTGCTCTATCTGACAGTGACGCACATACAGTACAGCACTTGTGAACTTAATCCTCCTGCATAATGCACTCGTGAAAAGTAGTGCTTGCTAGATGTTTGAAGATCTTAGAATCTCTGAGCTAGGGCTCATTGAGTTGTGTGTAATATAAATACTTAGTTCAAGCTGATGCACAGTGAGTTTTGGGGGCTAGCAGTATCCAAGCCCCTACTCTACTGAAAGTATAACCTTGACAATCTCCTGTAAGTCAGGAGATGTGGAATTTAGAACACTTCAAGACATTACATTGTAAAATAGCTTGTTTTGTGTTCCTAAAGCTATCTTGTTCTGTGTTAAAGTCCTAATGGTCTCAATGTAAATTCTAAATAAACATATTTCATTAGGAAAAAAAAAAGAAGATGAGTGATAAACTTCTTTCTCAAACAGAGTGTATTCTATGCTTTCAATGTGTTTTTTGGATTATATAAGCAAGCTATTTTTTCTAATTAAATATCATTGTATTTTTCCTCATATGTACCACATCTACAGTATAGTTTTAAAAATTATCTAATGAAAAATAAATATTGTTATATGCTTTCAAAGTTAGTATAATCTGCAGTCTTAAAATGCATGAATCTATAGCAGTAGTAAGTAGATTCTAATTGTTTTATTCATGAAATTATTTATGTGTGTGTGTATATATATTTATACACATACACATACACACATATACACATATTTTTAGTTTGGGCTACTCTAACAAATATACCATAAACTAGGTGGTTTATAAAGAACAAAAATTTCTTTCTCACAATTTTGGGAGCTAGAAGTCTAAGATAATGGAGCCAGCATGGTCAGGGTGAAGACTCCCTCTTCCAAATCGAACACTGCCTACTGTTCCTTGGATGCTCCCATGGCTGAGGGCAGGGAGAGCAAGGAAGCGTATCACCTCTCCAAGGTCCCGCCTCTCAATAGCATCACAAATGGGGTAGAGCTGTGACATAAGAAGATTGTGGGCACATGAAGATTTCATCCCAAACAATACACATAATATTTTAGCACAGTTGCAAATCAGCATAATGCTTTTCAATATTATGTGTACAATATATGTGCAGTGCCACCACTTTTTGACCTGT